ATTTCATGGTTGGTAATTTTATGGTTTTGATTTCTCAATTTTATTTTACTTCTGAGGTTTTGGTGGTTGAGGCCAATGACTAGGTCAGTGAAGTTATAATAACTCCATATAACTTTAAAGGCTTGTTTCTCTAATCCTTATTTTTCTATTCTTTCTTTCCATGTTTCTTATACTGCCTGTAATTATTCAAGTATATTTTGCTGCTGACTTGTAGTAAAGGCACCAAGGTGGTCTAGATCTAGCTAACCTATCCATAAACTATAATGAATATCATAAAACTTTCCTTCCTTGAATATTTATCCATCTATTATTTCTTGTATAAACTCTTGTATGAGGAAGTGGTTCATTAGTGGCCTTGGGGATTCTAAATATGCTCTCCTTTCCCTTAAGGGGATGCCATAGCCTACCTCTCCCTAACTCGTAGGCAATTCCAAAGTCTGTCTTAACTGTAGGCAGCAATCTTCTTTTAGTATCCCTTTAATCTTCTTGAGTTAACTCTAGGAACTGAAGTAGGGGAATTATTTACAAATAATTCTTCTTGCTGTAACTTATCTAGAATTTTCCAAGGTTGCTTATTCTTAGCTACGTTACTTATTGTTTGAAATAAGAAAAGAGCATTTGGAGGAAGTCTAATATTGGGAAACTGAGTTCCCAGGAAATCATCCGTATCTAGTCTCTCTTCAGGTGGGCCTAATGACCTGAGTAGGTACAAAGCAGTTCCTCTATGAGGAAAGAACAGGAATAAAGACAGCAATGAAGACAAGAAGTAAAGCAGAACAGCCAAGGACACAGCATGCTTTTTTAACACAGCCATTCTCCAGGAAGCGTTCTTCCTTTGAAGTTTTCTCAGCCTCGACCCACGGAGAGTTCCTCACGTGGGCTCCACTGGGGGTGGCATGACAAAGTTTAAAAGCAGCCTTTTCAAAAGAATAAATCATATATTGGGAAATGTAAAAATCTTCAGTGTACAGCTATATGAATTTCTATGTCTACATGAACTTAGACAAGCATGTCCCAAACCAAGAACTTATCATTTTCACTACTCAAAGTTCCCACCAAGCTCTTCCTTAATATTCCTGCAAAGTAGACACGTCTAAACCCTATCACCTTTAACTCATTTTGTCAGTTACTGAGTTTCACAGAAAGAATTTCATTAGAGTTTATCTTTCAGGGTTGTGTGAATGGCTTACTTTAAATGAATAATTTATTCGTTAATGCCTTTGTGAATTTCAAGCGCTCTAGTTTGAGACTAACATATATAAAGCTTCTATAAACATTCTTTTTCTTTGATTTGTAAGCATTTTTTTGGTTTTTGTTTATTTGGTTTTGGAATTTTTGAGACAGAGTCTCCCTGTAGTTCCAGCTGACCTGGAACTCACTATGCAGACCAGCCTGGCCTCAATCTCTTTTTTTTAATCATTTAAATTTTTAGTTTTTTTAAAATTTCACATATGAGTGTAGAAATGACTTTTTCAATATGAACATGCTCTGAACATACAACTTTTACTTAACTTTAATCTTTTCTTAGCTTTTTTATTATGTAGACAAGCTCAGTGAACCATTTGCTCCTCTTGTGACCTAAACATATGACCTTAATCCTCCATGACTGTTCCTTGCCTTCAACTCAGAATAATGTATGAATGTTGAATGCATGTTTTACATGCACTTCAGATAGTGCTTATCTTGTTGAAAACAATGCGATAATTATTTCAGTTTTTTTGTTTTACTAGAAATAGGTAGGATTAAATTATTCGTGATTGTATGTATGCTGGTCTAGGTCAGAAAGGGTAAAATTCTTCTCTGATAAGATAAAGGTCTGACTTTTGCTTCCCCATTTCATGGTGGAGATATTGTTTTAGTAAAAGAATGAGTGAGTCCTTGTTTGAGAGCAGAGTTCTGAGAGAATTCTAAAGGAACAGGTTCTCAGCAGTTCAGGTCCACTTTGGGCCTGAAATGGATGCTAGGATTCAGGCTGTTTTACTTAAGCATCACTGTAATGTGGCATCTCATAGTAAATGCCACATATGAGTACTGTATTTATACCATTTCCACCCATCCCTCTTCACCTTCAATTTCTCTCATGTCTCCCCTGACACCCTCTCAATTTGCGACCCCTTCTTTTATTATTGTTGGTGTGTGTGTGTGTGTGTGTGTGTGTGTGTGTGTGTCCTACAAGCCCATTTGGTGCTGCTCTTATGTTCATGTGTTTAGGGCTGGCCACTTGGGATTGGATAACTTATCAGGGAGCTCATCACTGGAGAAAACTGATTCTCCCTTCCTCGGCAGTCATTGACTACCTATAGTTCTTCATCTAAAGGTGGGACCTTGGGAAATTTCCCCATTCACATTGATATGTCAGCTGATATTGTCATTATGTGGGCCTTATTTAGGCAACCATATTGTTGAGATTTCATGGATGCGGCTTCCCTGATTTACACATACCTTTGATCAATATATCTGCATCTATTTTCTTGGGTATATACCTTCAACTGAAGGTGATAGTTCATAGAGTTATGTATATGACTTTAAATAAATTCTTCCTGTTATAGATTTACTTCCCTGGCCCCGATTCTTATACTGAAATTCTACTCCAATACCTCAGAATGTGGCCTTTTTAAAATTATTTATTTTTATGTTGTGTGTTTGAGTGTTATGCTGGCATGTGTATAAGTGCATTGGCATTGTGCAATGCCCTCAGTGGACAGAAGAGGGCGTCTAATCTTCTGGAACTGGAGTTGAGAACAGTTGTTAACCACCATGTGGGTGCTGGGATTCAAACCCAGGTCTTCTGCAAGAACAGCCAGTGTTCTTAACTTCTGAGCCATCTCTCCAGCCTGTGGTCTTATCATTTTTTTATTATATGTGTATGAGTGTATTGCCTACATGTATATATAAGTGCACCCATGTCATGCAATGCCCATGGAGATCAAAAGAGGGTGTTGGAATCCCTGGAGTTGAGGATGGTTGTTAGCTGCCATGTGGGTGATGGGATTAAAACTCAGGACTTCTGCAAGAGCAGCCAGTGCTATTAACCACTGAGCCATCTATCCAGTCCCTGTGGTCTTATTTTTAAATAGAGTCATAGCAGTTGTAATTAGTTAAGATGAGATAATATTGGTTGATTGATAGTTTGGGTCCTAGTCCAATATATCTGGTATCCTTATGAAAAGAAGAATAGGCATAACCATACAGCTAGGGAAATTGTGTAAAGAAGAAAGCAAAGACAGAGTGATGCTTCTACAAATTAAGAAGCAATAAAGATCCCCAGAAGATAGAAGATAGAAACAGGCATGGAATGAATTCTTCCTTCCTGTCTTATAAGATTTAAAGATTTCTTTGATGAGAAGCCACAACACAAAGACACTTAGAGAGAGAAAAGATGGGACTTTTAGTTACTTATAGCTCCAATCAAGAGAAGGCTACCCTGCAGGGTCAGGCAGGCATTGCACTCAAGGACAGGGACAGCTGCTGTGAGCCAAGTAGGGTGGGGTTAAGTCTCCATGGATCCCTACATATTGGCTAATTTGCATAACCTCACAAGACCCAGGGCAAGGTTACCTGTCAGTTATTCCTAGTTGTCTGCTATTTCACCGGGAATGAAGATAAGGGTTGGACAGATAAGGGTGGAGCTTAGTGGCCTGGAATATGAAAGCCTAGATAAAGGAAGTGTCTGGGGTATGGCCTTAAAACAGATGTGCAAAATGGGAACTGAACAGCATCTGTTGAGTCCCCTAAACTAGATCTAAATACAATTTCTAAAAATGTAAAACTATGTTAAAATTGACCTTCTCAGACATTGTAAGCTTGATTACTTGGAGTATTTGAATGTCCCAAATTGCAGGGAAGGCTTTCAGGAAACAGTGTATGCATTTCTCTAAACAGTACAGGAAACATTTCATTATGAAAGTAAAAAGGAGGAAAGCAAGTAGAGATTAAAGGAGTCCAACAATGAGTACACCACACTGAGAGGCTGAGAATCCAGTAGCTGCTCAGTCCACAAGACTGAATGTCTCAGTAGTCCCAATCTGGCACCAAGGCCTGACGAATTCCGGGAGATCTGCTAGTCTTCAGTTCACATTGGAATCTGAAGAAGTTGGTCACAGCAGCAAGATGAATTCACCAGTGAGAGAAGGCAAAGGGCAAAAAAGCAAAAGCTCCCTTCTGCCATGGCCTTTTATGTGGGCTGTCATCAGAAGGTAATGCCCACATTTAGGGTGCATCTTCCAGCTTCAGATGATCCAATCAAGAAGGTCTCTCTCATTTCAGTTAATCCCAGATCCAGTCAAGTTGAAACCCACGACTAGCCATCACAGAGGATAATCCAGAAAACATCAGATTCCATTGCTGTAGCAAAATGCCCCAGATAATTGATTTCAAGCCAGAAATGTTTATTAGTTTCATGGTTTCAATTGTGATTATTTGGGTCTATGGTAAGACTGAACATCAACGTAGAAAACACATGGT